TTCAATAAGTAACGATGGAGGGGGTTTGTTCCCTTTGGCCTGGTTGACACAGGAGCACATTGCAGGACAAAATGGAGAACAGGAGCCGCTCCCAGAGAACCAAGGGCAGGCAATGGCAAACCAGATGTGCGAGGAGAGGCTGAGGACCCACTGAAGCAACCTGGGGTCAAAGGAGCCTTCGTGGCAACAACCTCCAACAGGAGTGACAAACAAGGGCAAGATGGTTTTGTTGCTGCCATTGTGACGGGAAAACAGGCAAAATAAGTATGAGGCACTGAGGCCCACTTTCTCTGTCTTCTCTGAGTACATGATAAGAGAAAAGCTTTAAATCGTACCAGAAATTTTTTTTTTTTTTAAAGATTTTATTTTTTCCTTTTTCTCCCCAAAGCCCCCCGGTACATAGTTGTGTATTCTTCGTTGTGGGTTCCTCTAGTTGTGGCATGTGGGACGCTGCCTCAGCGTGGTCTGACGAGCAGTGCCATGTCCGCGCCCAGGATTCGAACCGACGAAACACTGGGCCACCTGCAGCGGAGCGCGCGAACTTAACCACTCGGCCACGGGGCCAGCCCCCGTACCAGTAATTTTTTTAAAAGCTCTTATAGATAAGGGAAGTGACAAGATTTGAGTGATTTGCTGAGTTCACACAGCTACTAATTTTTAGAGCCAGTTTTCAAAGCCAGATCAGTTGCATTCCAAGGCCTCAGCTCTTTTCCCTCTGTCACATGGAACTGAGCAGGGAAGTGGCCAGGCTAGGAGAGCGCAGCACAGCGGTTGTGTCCCAATTCTGGGTGAAGTCAATGGGTTGCAGTCCTTTATGATTTTATTTGCGACTTCTAGATATATTTGTGGTTTACCCAAGAAGCGCAAAAGCAACTGAGCTTTGACTGCCATCTAGTGGTCACTTAATTTCCTTATGTAAGCCAAATAGGGTTTTGTGTGTGTGTGTCTTTGCTGATAAGCCGGGAAAATCATTTAAGCTTGCAAAGATGTACACTAAGAAACAAAGAATGTTCCCTAAAATCTTAATTTATGTGCAACCATGTCACACAGAGAAACTAAACAGACTATGGGATCACTGAAAACTGTCTTTGTAAATTATTTCGTCTAACTCCCTTACCGATGGAAAATTTGATACTCAGAGATAATATAAAAGATTACAAAGAGTGAAAGAACTAAGACTAGAAAAATTTCCCAGTTCAGGCTCCTTCTTTCCTATACATAATCTATGTAGGGACAGCAGATGATCAAGAGCACGGGCTTCAAAACCGGCCTGCTGAGTTTAGCTCCATCCCTTATTAGCTGAGAGGCCTTGGCCAAGTTGCTTAACCTCTCAGAACCAGTTTCCACCTATGTGAAGGACAGTAAAAGGACCTCTCATACAGAACAGTTGAGATAATTCGGTAAATAGACAGACAGGTAGATAGATTTAGATAGAGGTTACTTGTAACAGTGGTTGGTACCTGATAAGCACAATACAAATAGTAGCTATTATTATTTGACATGATGCCTGTCTTTAGAGTAAAGCTAAGTCTACTATAAACCTTAGATAATTAAACTGACTACTTAAAGCCCAGTATAGCAAATGTGTTAAAAGTATTAATATATAAAGAGCCTAATGGCATGGCTATTTTATAACAATTGGCATGACACTGGTTAGTCCTGAGAAGCTATTTCAATTTGAATTCTTGAGGAGCTGAGGAAGAAAGAAAAGGCAGGAGAGTAAAGACAAGGGGTGCCGACCAGGGGCCACATCCTGTCCTTCATTTATTGATCCATCCACTAAACACTTACTGATTGTCTACTATATGCTGGGGACCACACTAGGTTATTTTAAAGTGTGGTCCACAAGGTCAAAACTACTTTTGTAACAATACCAAGATATTACTTTTTTCACTGCTGACATTTGCACTGATAGAGTAAATGATGGTGTAAATGCAATAGTGGGCAGAACCGCTGATGTGCCCCCATGAGTCAAGGCAGTGGTACCAAACTGTCATATTCTCCACCACTACACTCCCAAAGCAATGCTCAGCCCTACCCTGCCCTGCCTGTCAGCCCAATCGTTTCTTCTCTCCTCATTTCATATAATGCATTAAGGCTGACAATCTCCTTATACCATATCTTCATGAGGGAAATTGGTCTGTGGTGATCAGATTTAGATATGAAAACTATGTTGCATTCATAAAATGAATCAGGGAATTTTCCATCTTTTTCTAAAGCGTTAAGTAGCTTAAATAAAGCAGTTAAAACACAGCTATGATCTCCTCTGGGCTTGCTGCCTTTTGTAGTGGTGGAGCTTTAATTACATTTCCTAACTATGGTGTGATTAGTCAAGCAAAACTTTCGATGGGGGGGGGGGGTCAACATTTATTGTTTATCCTAAAGTTCTCTAATTTAACAAAAATGTGTCTTTGCGTTATGTATCTTGTCAATTCTCCCCCCTGGGATATAGGGATTTCTAATTGCAGAATCCAGCCTTTGTTTCCGAACTTTTTTTACACACATCTGAATGTAACACACGCCTCCATAAAGATGCTTGTGTGTGGTGTCTGATCGCTCACCTTTGAATGGCGTCAATTATTTGCTGATTAGCGGAGGGAGGAGCAGGAGGGCAGTAACTACGGCTTTAACTCAGTACGGTATCTAAAACACCCTCTCATCAACTCTGTCGTCTTTCCTAGGAGCACATCTCCCTCCCCTCAGGTTCAGCCTTCATCGGAGTAGGGCTTACAGTTAGTGTGGCTTCTCTCTCAGCTCCACATCCCCTGCCACTCTGCTGTATAGGATTTGGGCCTAAGATGATCACACGGACATTTCAGAGAAACCTGCATCTGGCACAAGGTCTGGAGAGGCTTATGTCAGACCTCAGGCCGCCCTTCACTTTGTTCTAAATCTCAAAGCATTTAGGAAGTATTATATTATAAGTTGTAGTTGTTTCCTTATTTGAGACGGATGTTTTTGTCTTAAATCTCTTTTTTAAATCTATTAAGGCTATTTTTCATTCTGTCTACTGTTTTTAGTCAGTTTCAAGGGAGAGGGTAAAACTGTCATTACTCTGTCACATCAGATTGTAAACATTTGCATTCTTTCAATTAACATTTAAGAATATTTCTAAAAAGACACTACACCATGAAATGTTAACAAGTGATTTCCTTTATTAAAAAACTAAGTTACTCAGTGTACTTAAAATACAGTTTTGCTTTTAGTAACTTCAGTCACACAATTTTCTAGGAACTGAAATGTAGCTCATAAAAAACACATAACCTGAAAGAATACCACCCAATAGTTGCAAAATGAAAACCACAACACCTTCTGTGACAGAAAAAAATTATTGGCTCTACACAAAAAATATTGATACCTATTTCTAAATTCATTTTCCTTACATACAACAAGCATATTCACAACAAAGGTGTTAGTGGTAAAGTAAAAGCAGTAATGGTTAGGATTTGGAAAAACATTGAAACACCCAGACCCCAATCTAGCCTCTTGAATCTTAATTAGCAAGTAACAAACCCTAACAGATGCATCTGAGTTAAACTCCTGTCTGCTTTTATTTCCCAGAACAGGCCTAAATCTGCGAATTGTATCTTCAGACAAAACCGTCTGCACAGGGGTTGGACTGGACAATCGCTCATGTCCCTAAAATGCTATAATTGAAAACTTTACCATCATGTGCCTGCAAGGCTTAATTCATGTCCAGTGTTTATAAAGGCCAATAAGACGCAAACACGTTTTCAAGCTAACTTCTTGAGTGTGTGTGTGAGGGAAGAGTCGCCCTGAGCTAACATCTGTTGCCAATCCTCCTCTTTTTGCTTGAGGAAGATTAGCCCTGAGCTAACGTCTGTGCCAACCTTCCTCTACTTTGTATGTGGGATGCGTCCACAGTGTGGCTGATGAGTGAGGTAGGTGTGTACCCGGGATCTGAAGCCGTGAACCCCGGGTCGCCGAAGCAGAGTGCATGCAACTTGAACCACTCAGCCATGGGGCCCGGCCCCATCAAGTTTTTTTTTTTTTTTTAACTTAAATGGCCTGTCACACTTATTTTCCATATTGTTTCATAGTGGTGTCTTACTCTCTTGCTATGATTCAAATCTTCCAGTGGAGTTCTAGAAAACCCAGAGTCATGTATGCAGCACATTTTCAGCAAGAGCACATGGGCCTTGATGTCTTCCTGACTCTATCTTGTTTTTTGTACTTACCAGGACTCCCAGTTGGGAGTTCAGAAACCCAACAAGTTTAGGAGCAAGTTTACGCTTAAGGAACCAATCAATGGAGGGGCAGCTGGGGCTCAGGAATGACTAAGTTTTAAAATCCTTCTGGATTCTGTTTCCACCTCTTTGCATGCTATTAAAGTTTTGTTCTTTCAAATCACCTTTTTCCAGAAGACAGAAAAAATATAACCATGGAAAGCTCCCATGCTGAGATTAGCTCTTTCTCTTTCAAATTTTTAAAACCTCATCTCTAAGTCAACAGCTCCACTTGGGCAAAGCAGTCTCCCTTGGGCCAATTACTGGGTGGTCAGGGAGGTAGAATCTGTAAGATGGTAGCAGCTTCCTTTTTAATATAATACAAATGACAGGAGCATCTCCCCCAAAGAAAGGGATGCTGTATCCAAAAAACAGAGGGAGAGGAAGTACTACGCCTCCTTTCTCTTCATCTTATCCATCTAATTTACAACATAGCCATCACTAAAATGCTTTTGAGAAGAGCAAAACAGCAGCTTCCATTTAAAAAAAAAAATACTCTATGCCAAGCAGTCCATTTCAAATTCCCCCAATACTCCTGTCAGGTAGAAATTATTTTCTCACAGTTCCAAGGGGAAAAAACAGACTCACAAAGTTTCAGTGAACATCACTCAGGTCTACAACTCTTAATGCTTTCATTTTACTATTTACATTGCTTCTTATATTTGGAAAATTCAAAGTAATATAATTTTCATCATACTCTGCATTAAGCATATGCTGAAGTTAATGAAAAATAACCAATAAAACTGACACAACTGGCAATACTATTCTTTATTATCAATTTTTCTTTTTGAGGAAGAAGCATGCTTTTTTTTTACAGCACCTGTAAACAAGTCAGTGAAGTATACTATTTTGAGTTTCTCCATATATATGTATTTTCTTTTTTTTTTTTTTTGGAATGTTAGAATACCAGAACACCAACTGCATTACATACACTGAAGGCAAGTCAGGCTAAAACAAGGGTAAAATTTTATGGCTGAAAATATTCATAGCAGCAACTTTTAAAAGATGATTTTATTAAATCAAGTCATTGCACTTGGTCATTTTATTGCTACAGCAAAACAAGGCCATTACATTTTTAACACTTCTCATTTCTGATTTTAACTGATTGTCTCATTCAGTTCATACATTTCAAGTTTAAATGAAAGCATAAAATGGTTACCAGCAAATCTAAAGAGAGCACTTGGGTTTTTTCCTGTGATCACAGTAAGAAGCATAAAAAAGAGAAAATCCTCTATGACACCAGACCCATTCTCTCTTCCTATCTTCACACTTAAATTTTGTAAAGAGGTAACAGCTTTATAGAAGACCAAAGCTTAGTGGTCACACTCACGCACACAGACACAACACTTCTAATATTGAAATACAACTAGGACAATTAGTAATATTATGTGTTTCAAAGAACAGCAAACCTGAACAATACATTCACTAAGAATTTGGCAATGACAGATTCCATGCTGTTCACCTCTAGTCTGTCGTTTATACTCACTCATAGAAAAAAATAATGATTTACTTCTAAGTAAAGGCTATTATTACAAACCATTTTGTGATATGAACTTTATGAATAGGAAATAATAAAATTCCTGTATCAAGAGCAAATACTGGTAGATTGCTAGATTAATGTAATCACTTTTCCCTCTGAGTTTGGTTTTCTTTTCTTTACTATTTGGTCAAGGGCAGAAAAACAGAGACACATTATTTACTTTTATATTCTGACTGAGGACTATCCAAGCAAATACTCAAATGTATTTCAGTACTCATGACCATCTTGATTTCACGCCCAAGTGAGAAAACGACCAACAAAACCTTTAAGAATAGCCTGAAATCTGCTGGACACTCCCTTACCCGTTACGAGGGGAGGAGGGCCACTCACTATGCTTCCAGCCAGAGAGCAGGACAAGGACTTCCAGGATACGCTGTTTCTATTTCTACCTGAGGACTTTCAGTAAAAGAAACTAAGCTCTAATTTATTTAACAAGAAGGAAACCATTCATTTGAAAAGTCATTTAAAAACATTAGAACAGGAATAAACAATTTTGTTCAGTAGTGACCTCATCAGAAGAGCTCAAGGACTTTAAAGAGTTACAAGGTACACGCTCAATGCACCATTAGATTGAACGTAAGTTGAGAATTTAACATTAAGTAATTATATATTGGAATTTCTATTATTTTCTACTAAAGTTCTCTTTTATTTGAAACAACATGACAAAATTTCATTAACACAAGATTCTACTATTATAAGATTAAAACTTAAAGGAAAAGTATTGGTTAGGTGGTTTAAAACAATATAAAATGCAAGCATGACAGATGGTACTCAAAATCTGAAAGTCATGTGCTATAATAGTGCTTAAAATCCTTTTTTTTTGCAAATAAAAAAATTCTACTTTTAACATAAACCCACATTTTGAGATGTATTATCTATAGACATAACATTTTAAAATCTTCAACAGTTCCTAAGTGACTCTGAAGAAACTGCTAATTCATCCATTTTGTGAAAATGCATTTTGAATATGGTCAACTATATTTGGTTTGAAATAAGCTGTAATGTTACATTTTATGATATACTAACACTCTTTATAAAGCTGGTATCTAAATGACAGCCCAAAATATCTCCACCAGTTAGTTTGGTCTATTAAGTAAATTACACATTGTAAAACCTGAGTATTTACATGATGATAACTTGTCCAAGTACAAAACCTCACACTGAAGTTCTTAAAGTTTTGAGTTTTGTTTTCCTAGTATTACCATTATTAAAAATCAAAAGAAGGGGCATGAAGAATTAAATCACAAACATGAAATGAGTACTATTTGAGCCTGTAGAATAAGCAGAAAAGTAATAAGGCTGGTGTTTGCATATTATATGTGCTGTAGTTTTTAGGCACAACAAGTTAAGGGTTAAATTGACATTTTTAGTTCCTTAGACCTAATGAATTTAAAATATAGCTCATATTTTCCCAAATATATTTAACAATACAATACATTTAACTGAATTCCTTTTATGAATCCTATAGTGCAAGCAATATAAAATATTTTAAAAGTTGAAGAAATTATTTTGATTTCATTAGTTAGTACTATATGCATGGGAGAGTAATCTCATTTATAGCTAGGAAACTCCTATTTCATCACTCAGAGTATAAACAGCACTGCAAACAAACAGGCACAACAGTGTAATCCTGGGTAAGAAGCTAAAAGTAAAAAATATATATATACAAAGTTTATATCCCTTATGTATTATGGGAAAAGTAGTGACTACAGTTACTATAAAGCTAATTTGTCCCTCTCAAATAGTATATTTTACAGATTTGTAAAGATATCACCATATTTATAGCATAGATCTCTTTAAAAATAATACTACAGGTTTCAATAAAAAAACTATTGTGAACTTTCTTTCCTTTTTATACAGATTCAGTAGTATTTTCAAGCAAACTAAAAAAAAAGTTTGCAATCCCAGCACATAAGAAATAAGGCCTCTTTTTTTCATATTGGCAAAACAAAATATATAAAAAAAAATTCACCTTCCCCTACTTTTCTATAGATATTACAGTTCATATACTCATATTTATCACGACATCAGAATTTGTTATTTTTTAAGTAACAAGTCAGTTGAAGTTCATAGTGTTGCTTCTGAATCCCTGGAACATTAAGAACACTTCAAGAAGACAAGACTGCTTTTTTCAGCTTCTCTATTTCCACCTAAAATACAAAACACAAATGGAGCAACAGATAAAATACATTTACTTTAGTAAAGTTTCTTTATTTTATCCCACATCATTAAGATCTGATCATACTTTCAAGCCTCCATATTTTGATTTCCATTCTAAAATCTAATTTCCAATGTTGTAATAAATACAGAAAAAGTTCAACAAAAGAAAACATCACAATGCACGTTCCTAAAGAGCAGGTGACAACAACAAAAAAAGCAACTATAGCTGTTTCACCCAGAACTGTGTTAAGTAATGTGAGCATTTGAAAGAACTGTAAGAAAATCAGCCCTACAGAGAACACGAGAACCCTTGAAACCAAATGAAGAAATGTACACATACCTGTAATTAAGCAAAGGGGGCAGAAAAGTAAAAAAAATAATAATAAAGGACCAGTTTGGTTCTGTATCTTTCACTTACTACCTATGTAACATTGATAAATCACTTCATCTCACCTGGTCTCAACTTTCTCCTCATAAACATTATGTCTCTAGACTAAATTATCATTAAAGCCCAGGAACATATTTAAAATTCAGACAATGTGTTGAAATACTTCCAACTTTAGGCAGAAGGCATCCTTCACTTAACAGAAATTCACAACTTAAGAAACTCAGGAAAATTCATTAGATTTTCACAATTAACTGCAAAGAGTTACTTAATTTTGACATATTACAAATAACTAAGTTGAGGCTCAAAGATACCCTGCCAATGGTTCCACACTAGCAAGTGGCACACAACTTGTACTGCTAAGGTCTAAGGCTCTAAAGCCCACAGTTTTTATACTCCTTCCCAATTAAATATTTGGATCCTCATTTTTGTGTGTGCGTGAGGAAAATCGGCCCTCAGCTAACATCTGTGCCAATCTTCCTCTATTTTATATGTGGGATGTTGCCACAGCATGGCTGGATGAACACATGGGTCCACACCCGGGATCCGAACCCATGAATCCCGGGGCAGTGAAGCAGAGCATGTGAACTTAACCACCATGCCACGGGGCCAGCCCGTATTTGGGTCATTTTGACCTTTCACTGCATGTGGAAGCAGGTAGGCCTTACCTTCTCCTGATAGCATCCTCCATCTTCCCAACAATGCATACAAATAAGACATGCTATGGCTAACCACTGATAAATAGTTCATTATTACATGATGAGCATTTTGCCCCAGTCAAAAAGTATAGTTTTAATATGCTCACAATCTCCTTAGGGATTCTAACTAGTCGAGAATGGCTTGTTAATTTCAGGATCTTTCCTGATATTATTCTTCAACTAATATGATCATTAGCTAAATATTTTCGCAGCATCGGACTGGGACAAGTCTTAGTCTTCAGCCTGGATTGAGATAAAATACCTTCAATCTTCAGCCTGATGTGCTATTATTATCATCTCTATTTCAAAGACCAACTGTGTAATTTTAATGGGAGAGGATGCACAGAAAACAGTAAGAAAAAACACCAATGGAAAAGGCAGCAAGGAGTGGGAAGAATAACCCTGAATGCAGTAATATTCCTTACAGACTGCTATTTGTCACATAAATTTAGGTATCAAGCAAATATTTATATGGCTAGAGTTTTTCTTCTAGCACTTTTATGTTCATTGATCATCTGCAGTCCTTTTCATCACTCCTCAGTATAATTTAATGCCATATATGGTTAACTTTATAGTAGTTCAAAGTACTACTTTTAATATTTGGGGAAATATAATTTTTCCTTTAAACATATGATCCTAAAATTAATGCCTTATTAAGTGTGTTTTTACAATACAAGGGTCAAACTTTCCCCATTAAGGAAAAAAATGTGTAATATAAGTCAGTGAGAGGCTAAGTAACAGCTGATTTTTTATTTTTTTTATTTTTAATTTTTGTGAGGAAGATTGGCCCTGAGCTGACATCTGTGGCACTCTTCCTCTATTTTGTATGTGGGACATCACCACAGAGTGGCTTGGCGAGCAGTGCAAAGTCTGCAATGGGATCCAAACCTGTGAACCCCAGGCCGCTAAAACAGAGCACGTAAACTTAACCACCATGCCACTGGGCCAGCCCCATAACAGCTGATTTTGCTGGAAAAATTGAATCAAAAGAAATTCTTCAAAAAAAAGAACAATTCATTTGACTCGTCGTAATTTTTATGATGAATCATATAAACAGTCACGCACCACATAATGACATTTTGGTCAATGACAGACCATATGAAAGTGGTCCCATGAGATTAGTACCATATAGCCTAGGTGTATAGTAGGCTATACCATCTAGCTTTGTGTAAGTGCACTCTATAATGTTCGCACAAGGATGAAATCACCTAACAACACATTTCTCAGAACATACTCTCGTCGTTAAGTGATGCATGACTGTACAAATTGAACTGCATTGGTTCCTCTTGCTCACATTATTACCTTATTTTCATATATGAATATAAATGTATATGTATAAGGAATGAAAGTCAAGAAACATTTTTGTTTTTACTTTCTCAATTTCTACCATGTTCCACACCAGGAATTTAAGACATTTTTAACATTTACCTTCTAACAGTTATTAATTCAACAAAAAATTATTAGCTATCTAACATGCATTTAGCACTGTGCTAGGAGCTATGGGCAAAGATAAAACAGACACAGATCCCACCTGCAAAAGTCTTACAGTCTAGAAGATGGGCAAAAATAAGTCCATAATGTATAAGTGATAAGAGAGAAAATTAGTATTTATTCATCTCTTACAAAACTAAAGGATGTGAATTTGGGAGAAGACAACATTACTTTTAATCCAAAGAAGACTGGGTACCAACTTAACAAAGGTGAGTATTTGAGCTAGACCTTGAGAATCTGCAGAAGTTGGGCATGAGAAGATGAGACAAAAGGAAAATACAGTAAGAGTAAAAATTCAGACAAATTAACTCTAAGAGACAATTGAGGATCAGCAAGCGAGGAAAGAAAGATACACTAGGACCAGGACATAAATGAAATCATATACCAAGTCAAGAGTTTGAACTTTATTCAGCAATAGAAAGTTCCTGAAAGCACTAGGCAAGGAAAGATTAATTTGAGATAAGAATGCGAGAAACTTAAGCAAGCTAAATAGAAGATAAAGAGGATAAGAAAAGGACAGAAATAGGGGACTAGAGATAAAGGTTAAGGCGTAAAGCTAATAGGCCTGAAAGTAAATGGAATTAGAAGAGAACAGAAATACCATGTCTGCATGACTAGAGGGACAATGAAACCATCAACAGAAACAGGAAATCAGAACAACAGAAAAGGAAGATGAGAAATTTAACAGGGACATGCTAATTCTGAGTTCACAGTGGAATATCTAGGGAGACTAGCAGCTATAGACACATGATAGAAGCTGGGAAAAGAAGTATTAGACAAAGACTGAATGCACAGGGAGGAGGGCCAAGGATATGCTGAAGGAACATCTCTCCCTTAGGTTACAAGAAAGGAAGAAGACAGAAGTTAGGGACAGAAGAATGCAGGATCATATAAACCAAGATAAAATTCTGAAAAGGTGGCAATGGTAAAAATGTGAAATGCTGTTGGAACTGAAGAGACATTGGAGTTACCATTAGTAAACCTAAATGCAAGGGATTACGCACTGAATTAAAGGTGAAGAATTAGAGACTAGCAATGTATGCTGTTTTCGGTTGTTTTTGTTTTGCAATAAATGAACCCCAAATGAAAAGAAAAAACTACAGCAGATCAAGTGGGCAGTTGGATCTGAAATGGGGCTTTTCTTTGTTTTTTGAATAAGGAATAAAATTGAGTATTTTCATGGAAAGAACAAAAAGTATCAATAGAAGGGACATGTTAGCCATAACAGTAAAAACGGAGTTTTGATAATTTACCAAATACCTTCACATATATTATCTCAACTAAAGCTAAAGAAGGCTAACTGACTTCCTCGAGTTCAAACAGTATAACTCAATCCCTAAGAGCAAAGGTTCTGAAGCCTGTGTGCTGTTAAAAATTTCAGCTCCACTGCTGACTTAATCATTCTAAATCCTAGTTTCCTCACCCTTGAAACAGGAACAACAATCCTTATGAGGTATGTGTGTCCAATGAGATAATGTACAGAAAGTCCTAAGCTTAATTCACACAGTTTAGAACTAAAAGGCATGAGTGTAAGTCAGAAGAGGAACTCAAGTTTTTTAACTCCAACTCCCATGTTCTCTCTTTTTCACAATGCTAACAAAACAAAGAGGGTAAGTAATGAGGCAAGGTAAAAATAAGGAGGAGGATGAAATAAGACAGAATGGGAAAAGCCTCTGGAGAAAGGCAGGACACACTTTCTCTGAGATACACAGAAAAGAAGAACATATGAAGACCAAAGTCAGTGAGGATAAGAAAAAAATTAAGAAAGATAAAGAAAATAAGTAAAATCATCAGTCATCAGCAGAGAGTAAAGATGATGACACTATAAAGTAAACATTCACCGAGAAATCAAAGTCAGCAAATCTATAGCCACATCCTATTACCACCACCACCACCACTACCACAACCGGCCCTGCCCCCAGGACAACAAAAAGAAAAAAGTTTAACTGTGAAGGAGAGAGAACTAAAGCTCAAGAAAGAAGCAGTATTGAATGCAAAAGATCTAGAAACTAGACACTCTTAAGAGGCAAGAACCATGTTTGTTTTATTCACAAATGTATACCTTGTGCCTCATGCACTGCCTATGAGAGTTAATGCTCAAAAAATATTTGCTGAACGAAGGAACGGAATGTGACAGGGAGTCAACAAGAGACTAATTAAACGGCTAGCAGGGAGTGTTGAACTGAAGTAGGACAGCATAACTTGCAGTGGAACCAATCAACCAGTTGGGTTGGAAAAAACATGTCCAGTTTATGGTGACTGCAATCGCAATGCCAGGAGGAATCAATTACCTCTAGATTACTTCTCATTGCCTTCTCTTCTTCCAAATCTTTTCGTAGTTTTTCCAGTTCTTTCCTAAGAACAAAGTATTTATTACTGTTAAGTTTTTCAATTAAACAATATATTTGACTAATGTTAACAGGGTCTCTGTTGCCTGACATTCCAGAACATGGGGAAAACTTTTTAAAAGAAACAGCCATATTGATTAAGAAAAATTTCAAATTCTCTAGTTGGAGTGAAGCAATTTTTCATATTCAGGTATCATACATCTCCCAAGCTGGACACACCAGAGGCCAAACAATTTGGTAAAATAAATGTTAAAACACATCATAGTACAAGGTAAATTATAGTTTATTCAATAGAATACCCTAGACTTTCTATTTCTCTTTCTCTATTTTTTTTAATTAAATATTAGAGGCTGGCCCCGCAGCCGAGTGGTTAAGTTTGCACACTCCACTTTGGCAGCCCAGGGTTTTGCTGGTTCAGATCCTGGGCACAGACCTAGCAGCACTCATCAAGCCATGCTGAGGCAGCGTCCCACATAGTAGAACTAAAAGGACCCACAACTAAAATACACAACTGTGTAGGAGGGGGCTTTGAGGACAAGAAGGAAAAATTTTTAAAAAAATTAAATAAATTAAAAAAATAAATTAAATATTACATTAAAATCCAAAAATCAAACCAATAAACAAAAAACTTCAACCAAAAATTCCTCCTCCTTAACTCATGTTTTCATTCTTCTGTGTTCCCGTCTATCTTTTTATATAGTAATTTTTCCCTCCATAGCTGTACATGTATATTCTATATTGTCTTCTCACAAAGTATTTTAAAACATTTCCATGCTGCTAAAATTGTAATTTAACTGTTGTTTGCTATTCAACTATTCAAGTTTTTTGCTTGGGGGGACAGAAGGAATGAGACGAATAGGAATTTACTTAACATTATGAATACATCAATATATCATATTTCTATGTCAAAAAGCATGGACATTTTCGGCCTCTTGACATATACTAGGAAAATTCTCCTCAAGAACGTTGCAGAAATAATAGCTTGAAAAAGTCATGAAAACAGAATATTTGAGAAAGGAAGGGAGTTTCAAACTATAGAGTTTCAAAACTAATTTCTGAGGCCTGCCTGGTAGTGCAGCGGTTAAGTTCACATGCTCTATTTCGGCGGCCCAGGGTTTGCCTGTTCAGATCCCAGGCGTGAACCTACGCACTGCTTATCAAACCATGCTGTGGTAGGCATCCCACATATAAAGTGGAGGAAGATGGACATAACATTAGCTGAGGACCAAGCTTCCTCAAAAAAAGAAAAAGAAAACTAATTTCTTCTGTGGTTTTAATGATTAGAAAACTATTTCTCTATACGGGGAGTAAATTTTCTACTGTTTTATAGTCTACTGACTATAATTTTTAAAATAAGTAATAAACTGAAATTTACCTAGAGTTTATTTTGGGATGTGATATAAAATGTGCTTCTAAGCTAATTAACTTCATATTGCCATAAGGTTATCACTAAATTAAATGATGCTTTCCTGTTTCCAATTATACTATTATTCTGAGTTTATTATACATTTAATCTAATTAGGTTAAATCTATAATTAGATACATTATATCTAAATTAGGATCTAGTCCTAGAATATTTATCCTGCTGTATTTATATGTATAATAGTGTTACATTATTCAAATTATTTGCCTTTTCACCTGATAATTTAGTCAGTCTCACATTTTTACTGCCATTTAAAAAAATATGCTTACAAATACAAAATTTTATGTAACATTCTGTTTTCTTTTTACAAGATCAAACTATACACCATGTCCCGTAACTTTTCAACTGAAGAAATAGATTACTGATGTACATGTCTGTCAACCTTGCCAAATGTTCATCTCCTTCCATTTTTTGATGATTTGTTCTATGCATTTTAGATTTCAATATTGAATGCACAGACTGTTTATGTATTTGTAAGCTATAAAAATATAATAAAGCAAAAAACCTAAGAACTCCAAAGCAGCTTAAGAAATAAAATATTACCAGTACCTCTGATACCCAAAGTGACCCTCCCCCTCAACCCCGTGTTCCCCCTCTCCTTCGTAGTATTATTCCTTTTCCTGTCTTTCTAATTTTACTACAAAAGTATCTTGAAACAATATACTGTTTGGTTTTGTATGCTTTTGAACTTTATGTAAATAAAATAATACTATATGCATGTCTCTGACTTGCTTTACCCACCCACAATGTTTTTTAAGATTAATTCATGTTGACACATGTAGCCACAATTCATTTATTTTTATTGCTGTACACTGTATAGTATTTCTCTGTATCAATATACCAGTATATATTTATCCATTCTCCTGTGACGCTCTTCTTTTCCAGATTAAAAAAGCTGCCATCCATTTCATTTTCCCAAAGGAACTCAAGAGTCTGAAAACACTCTTTGGAAAATAATTCTAAAATATCCAATATCTATGTTTTAAAATATATATAAATCACAAATACTTTATTCATCCTACAGTTAATCTAAGAGCACCTACAGGCAATCTGTATATATAATTAGTAGTTCGTTAAAAATAGCAGACTTTGTATTAAAAATGTAAAACGTCAAAATCAATAAATCAGGCGAGATCTCCAACTGGTAAATGAGTGGTGCTTATTTAAATAAATATTTACTAGACGAATGAACTTACAGTTTATAATGTGCATATTGTGAAAAACTTTGCCAGACTCAGAACAAATAAACTGAAGGATTCAAGAAAGACCCATCATCTACCAAATTACAAACACTCTCTCTCTCTATATGATATATATAAGCATAATATATTTTTTAAGTAGTCTTTCAAGATAGATTTTTTGTTTCTAAGAGATGTTTGTAAAAGTGCTCTGCAAACAACAAACAAATCATATTGTTAATCTCAATACTGCTTTTAATAAAGAATCCAGTGACAAGTGAGAACTGGGGGAGAAATGGTAATTCGAGTTCAGAGGGAACAACGGTCTCTGGCGGTGACTTTACACCAGGTTCCATATTCAATGAGACACTTTCAGAGCTACAGGGGAAGGGGAGCTAAAGGAAGAGCACCTGCATCCTCACCCTCAGGTCAATCAGATTCACTCATCTTTGATTTGCTTTACCTACTGGGCTTTTGCAGAATTATGTCTAAAATGTTTAGGTTTAAAATTCAAATGGGGCCAGTCCCATGGCTGAGTGGCTAAGTTCGTGCACTCTGCTTCAGCAGCCCAGGGTTTCACCCCTTCGGATCCTGGGCAAGGACCTAGCACCACTCATCAAGCCATGCTGAGGTGGCATCCCACATGCCACAATTAGAAGGACCACAACTAAAATATATACTATGTACTAGGGGCTTTGGGGAGAAGAAGGAAAAATTAAAAAACAAAATCTTTAAAACAGTTCAAATAATACTGGTTATAGAAAAGATCTCTAAACCAACAGAAGATGAGGGTTAAAGTTCTAGCTTAGCCATTTAAGAGCTGAGTGATCTTAGGTAAAGAGCTTTACTAACTCTCTGAACCCTTATCTCTTCATTTAAAAGAAGGGAGGGGGGCTATTGTACGTAATCTTTTAAATTTATTTTAGCTCTAAAAAGTCCCTAACTTTCACATAGGGTATATGTCTCACCATACACCATAATCAAAGCTTTCAGAGTTAAGAGAAGGGCCTTAGAGATCACCTATTCCAATTCACTTGTTTTATAAATATCCAACTCAACTGTAGCAGAAGCAGCGATCAGTCTGCTGAGAAGTAAACTAAGTAGTCATGTGTCACTAAACGACGGGGATACACTCTGAGAAATGCGTCATTAACTGTCTTCATCATTGTCCGAACATCACAGTGTACTGACACAGACCTTGATGGCACAGCCTACTGCACACCTAGGCTACAGGGTACTTACGGGACCACTGTCATATATGCGGTCTGTTGTTGACAGAAAAGCCACTGTGTGGTGCATGACTGTATATGTACAAATACAGCCCAGATCTAAAATACAATATGGCTTTTCCTAATTTGAAGAGTAATTACTAACCTGTGTTTGACCAGAAGATCTGTAGCCTCAAATTATGGCTATGCACATACGTTTTCTCTAATTGCGCTACTAGAACAAGTTTTCGAATTCAAATTCTTTGTCAAGAGGAGAAAAGCACTATTAAGGAAAATTTCTTTGGAAACATACTTGCTCATACCAGAAACCTGGCAGATTACATCTTTACTTGATACGAATTGGAAGAATTCTTTACACACACATTAAGCAGTACCCAATAAAGAAAACACAGGCTACTTACCCATGATCCTTTTTCAGTGCTTCTACAGTGCACAGCAATTCAATAATCTGAGCTCTAAGTTCATCCAAGGAATTTTTTTTCCCATCATTTGATTCTACTTTAGCTTTGATTTCTAATGGAGTTACAAAAGCAGCCATATTTGGTTTAGAAGCACTTGAAGGTGTTGAAAGGTACGCAGATGGCTGAAAACGTAATAAACACAAAATTTTCTGATTTTACTTGTATTTACATTTAATATCATATCTAACTCCAACAGATTTTTATAGCACGGAGACACATAAAGCAATACTTCAAGAGAAATGATAAACTTGGAAATTCAAAAAGCAGTTTAATGTTCACAAATAGAAAAAACTATCAAACAACCAAAGAATAAACTTGCAATCACTAGAGGGTTTTGTGAGAAATATCAAGGGTTTTATTTAAAAAAAAAAAAAAAGAATAAGAATAGCCATTAGATTTCTCTTATGAATGGTAGGCCTAGGGGAGCATCTGGAAACAAGAACACATCAGCATTATTAAGGTGCCGTTTTGATCCTCCGTATTAAACAGTTATTATTTAGAATACCCAAAGAGCTACACTTAACAGTAATTACGAAGAATTTGGTAAGTCCATGAAAGGGGCATTAAAATGAATCCATGGCCTGAGACTCTCATTATTTCACTAAAATAACAGTAAGTAGCGCTAACAGTCTATTGAAATTAGAATTAGATTAAGTGTATCTCATAAATCAGAATAGCAGCCAAATGCCCTGGAATGAATTTGAGGAGGAAACATGACCTTCTTAAATATAAGATGTGTGTCAACTGTGGTAACACTATCTTACATTAAAAAGGCAAGAGTTTAGAAAAAAGTCTTAACACCAGGTAACAGATGGAAGAATCCATGTATTCTGCCATTCATTCCAGTATATATTCAGTGATTATGGTGCCGAGCACCAAGCCAGGTAAGGAGTAAACAACTAATGGCTTCTGACCTAAAGTGTGTATGTTTAATGGGAAAGTGAAACAGACGTACAGATATATGCTTTAAAAACATGAAATATGTAACATTTATACTACTCATTTAAAATAATGTATGCTCTTCTAAAAAAAGATCCACAGAGAATAGTATGACAAGTTTAACAACTCAACTTTTTAGCAGGAATTATTTTATTTCTTGGCAGAAGAAGTAATTCTTAAAGGACATTTTTAAATTCCACAATTTTGATTTTCACAAAGAATCCTACAAAGTATACAAATCTTAGATCATAATGCATCTCACCTTTGGAGTGTAGCATGAGTCCTTTTTAAATTCAGATGGCTTTAGGCTGGCACTATCATCTTCTTTTGGTAATTTTAACAGTTTTTCTGGGCTTTGAGTTGGCTAAACGATTTTTTAAAAATCAAGAAACAGAAAACAGCAAAAAAGGAAAAGGTAGTAAGCATTTGAGTAATAGAGTAACTGTTATCACTGTTTACAGCAGCTGCTATTCCAAATATTCCATTGTTGTCAGGATGTTACATAATGTCAAACTGAATAACACACTTGCGTATCTTGAAGGCAAAACCAGCTTGCCTCTTGGCAGCAAAATTTTTTTCTACTTAGGTAATTTAAAACTACTCTAGTTCTTAAGAGCTAATACATTAACACTGAGCACTATCAGTATCACAAGTAACACACAGAAAGCACAAAAAGAAGTTAAACACTTAGATACCAGGACTAGTACTACAGGAAACACTGACTGTTTCAGGGCAAAGGGTGTTTTCGTTCTTTCCCAAAGTGAATAGTATCAATTCTAATCATTGTTGTTGGGTAAGATTATACAGGTCCCTTGTCCCCTTTCAACTCTGTGCTCTGTGGTTATAGGTCTCATGACAACTCTACTTCTGATTTTGTAACCTTCCATTCCAAACCCTGCTGAAATGAACAGGGGTCTTTCCTCATATATCCTTAAATACAACCATTTGCTACTTGAGTATAACAGCTATCTTCCTCATTTTTAAACTGGCGGAGCTATAAACCCTCCCTCCCTCTCATCTTCAGAAGGACTCCGGATTTGTTAAAATTTTGTTTTACAACAGTAGGTGTAACTCACAGAATGTCCACCATTGAAGCGGCCAGGCAATCTTCTCCCAGGCATTTTCGGTCTATTTGCTGTGAGATGTAGCAAGTTTTCTGAGGAAGCTATGTCATCAAAATTAACAAGATCTGAAGAATAAAATTAAACATATCTAATAATAGATAATGTAAAAAAAAGCATGTTTCTGGATTTTTAACAAACAATAAATTAAAAAGAGTGCCGTAGGACTCACAAGTGGACCTGTGCTTTTCATATGCATTTGGAAAACAACACTCACCCTTAAAAAACAAACACTTCTTTACCTGATACATTGGATAGCATAAGGTTCAGGTTTCTAATAGAGACTCAGACCTCAACAAAAAGTTCTCACTGTAGGATATAAACCTGTACCATAAGTTGTAGCGGCATAAAAAAGCTGTTATCTTAAGTTATTGCTTATTAAAAAAAACAGGATCTACTTCTTCAATTCATAATTAATTACAATTAATACATAAGAAAATTAACATACATAATTTGTTTTAAACTTCAAGTAGTATCCTAATATTCAAATTTTAAGGACTCAACTATATCTAGGACTCTGCTGCTTTCCGACAGCATTTGTCAATGTAAAGTTCAAAGTATAATTTCGTGTCTTTGTGTGTGTACATATGTATGTGCACAGTATATTGCAGCTGGGCTTTACGCTGTTTATAGTTCACTGCACTTCCGCTTAGACATTACCATGTTTAGGAATCATAAGATAGTTGTAAATCTAAGGCAAATTACATACCAAGGGAAAATGCTACATAGATCATCTATTTGTTTACCCACCATCAAAGGCTGGTTGACCTCTGATCCAATAACTTGGGTTTAAGGACAAATCTAGGTAATTTTAATCTCTGAAACAATGGTATATAATACCTTCCCTTTTTCTAGATGATCCAGAAAACCTTGTTAAAGAAGCTGATCTTTAATTTTGAAGCCCAGATATCTTTGAGTGATACAAGAACCCTAAGGGTAACTTCAGACACTTCCATTGTCAATATAATCTTCCTTTAGCCCAGATTCCAGATTAGGGATATTAATCACAATCGAGATACTTGATATTGGCAATGGATATCTTTGGCCTAGTCTTTCAGGTATGGAATCATTCTTCACACTACCATTGCCTGGATGCTTATGATGCTTTCTGTCAAATAGTTAGATATCCCAATACAATGATTTGTTATTTCTTAAAAGAAATCTAAAGATACTTATCATTACTGCCCTCAAAGCTTATTCATCAATTTTCATATTTAAAGTAATTAATTTAAGAGAATTTTTCTTAAAGGGATGGAAGACACAAACGTTAAGGCAGAGAAGAGGTATCTCTGCTAATACGCATTTTATAACAACTTCAAGTTATCTGTTGGCCTCTATTAAGTCTCTTCCATCTTCACGTGCTGCTTACTTTGTGCGTTCTATCTTGGATCCAGTCACTACGCTAATACATCACAACAGGCAATCTCATGTGCTCAGTTTAACTGTGGCTTGAGTCATTCAATTATTATCTATAAGTAATTATAAAATATAACAAACCATAATAAAAAAACACAACAGCTTTACTGAAAAATGCATTATTAAATGTGAAAGACCTTGAGTTTAAATATGTATTTAAATATCTCAATCTTTTTATTTGTAAATTTTATAAACAAAGAAAATAATATTTTAAAAGATGTTAAAAACATGCTGTCACTTGAAGGGTTAAAAATTGTTTTTTTACACTGTCTAATTTTTAAATGTGTGTTGACAACCTACAAAAAAAAAACCTTGAAAAATACAATCCAATCATTTTGGCCTGTGGAGATTATTTTCAAATGCATATTTAAGCAACTTGCAAAAAGAAAAAGAAACAAACAGGAAAACATAGGACGGAATGAAGATAAAAGAAACTGAAAATGAAATAAAAGGTATATTACAAAATTATACACCATGCTGATGTACAAATGCCTTCCCTATGTCCAGTTTTGGGTTCCAACACCAAGACAAATAATTTCACTATTCTAAAACTCTGGCAGGTCCTCCATTTAAACCATTAGGTTAGTAAAATAAAACAGTGCACATTTTGGACTCACGATATATTTGAACACTTTTAAATTTACCTAGGAGTGATAATAATGGATTTATACTGTACAAATGGCATAAAAGGTATGACAATCACCTAACTCTTGCAATCACACTGTCACTCTGCCAGCCACTGACATTTCTAGATATTGCCTAAAACACAGAATTTTTTAAAAATCAAAATGAAATGTCAAATTTCGGGAGAAAATAAGTATTTTCTTTTATGGTCTTTCGTGGTTGCCAATTAAAATAAAACTTTTATCAAAAGAATATCTTTAATCAGGAAAATTTTTCCAACAAAAATTTCATTTTATTTTAAAATGGAAAACCAAAAGGGTTAGAACAGACAGACAAACATGTACACTTTTAGTAAAACTACAAAGAAAAATCAATGTGCACCACCTATTTATACTGAATATACTATTTTGATTTCTTTCATAAATTGTCATCTTACCAAAATGGAGAAAGGTAGGATAATTTCCTGACACGTAAGAGGGAAACATGGCAAACAGGCTAGGAAACAAAATCTGGAAAGAAAAGTCAAGGATAGGAATGTCTAGAAAAAAGACTAAACCAAAAAAATTATTTTACAAAGCAGGAAAAAGGAACAGTTGTAGAGTGACTAGAACCATTTCAATGTTTAGCATATACCTATTACAGTTTATCTAAACTTATATAAGATATGTGTTAGATTTTAGATTTATTCTTGTCTTCAAAAGAAAAAACTATGATTAGTATTAATTTCAATACACATTAAACTAGAAAAAAGTCTTTTTTTAATTACTCACTAAACACCAAGACAGCTTCCAAAAGGATGTTTTAGTACTAAAATTTACGTAGAAGTCTGAGTAATAAATCAATACATTAACTTATTAATACAGTTATAACTAAAATTAAACCACCTTTCAGTCAAGTTTTAGTCTTTAGCATATGACAGCAATTACAATGAAAGAGGCAATTTTAATTCTATGGTATAATAAAAGAAAAATATGCCAAATATTATTTTTAGGTATCTCACTATAAAAATACAACTCACTACAACACTTAAAATGTCATACATAGGTAAATAAAAATTCAGTAATGTCTTATATGATACTCTCTATAATGATATTATCAAGGAAACTATTATTAGAAAATAAAAACTTTAATCTCTGCTCTTGTTTCCCAGGTACAGTGTACATTTTCGGGCGTGGTGTTTTGTTTTTGCATCCTAGTTTAGATACAGATTCACTTTTTATAGAGTCTACCACTCAATAGGTAGGTATCTTAGTAGAAAAATCTGATCATAAATTCTTTCTTGGAGAAAAAAATAAATATTGAAAATTAATTCAAACAAAAATAGATCAACTGTCAAACAGAACTGAAGAGAAATCCCTATGTAAGCAATGAAGGCTTTTGTATCAAATAATGTATGTGTCTCTAAAATTTCCTTTTAAGCCAAAAAGAATTTATCACAGAAAAACAATCAAAAAGGATAAAATACTACACTCTAAGAATACTTCATCAGCTGTGCTTTCTCAGTGCATTAACTACATTACCACTAAATTTTGGTGGTTTTTTTTTTGAGGAAGATTAGCCCTGAGTGAACATCTGCTACCAATCCTCCTCTCTTTGCTGAGGAAGACTGGCCCTGAGCTAACATCCATGTCCATCTTCCTTTATTTTATGTGTGGGACGCCTGCCACAGCATGGCTTAACAAGCAGTGCGTAGGTCCACAACTGGGATCCAAGCTGGCAAACCCCAGGCCGCTGTAGCAGAATGTGCACACAACCACTGCACCACCAGGCTGGCCTCTCTAGCTGATATTTTAAAACTAACTGTAAACCAATCTTACTTCCTAGAAAATTTACTATTTTAGAAACATTAAGACCATGTGAACTTTAAAATTAGTCAGTAGTAGCAGTAAGATTATCCTAAACCAATTTTTGATGAAATGTTTGAAAAAGAAAAAAAAAATTAAAATAGTTCTAACAGCTCTGCAGTTTGTAGTAATATCTTATATATGAGAATATATATGGAGGGACTTTAAAAAAAAAAGGAAAACCAAATCAAGTATTCTATGAATGTTGTTCTTATATGTACAAAAGTGAGCATCTGTATCTATATATGTTTATATATGCCTTTATCTACAGTCATGCACCACATAATGTTTCAGTCAACAAGGGATGCTTACACAACAGTGATCCATAAAGTTAGTGCCATATGGCCCAGGTGCGTAATAGGCTATACCAGCCAGGTTTGCCTAAGTACACTCTACGATGTTCACACAAAGACAAAATCATGTAATGACACATTTCTAAGGACACATTAAGTGATACATGACTGTACAAGAAAATCATATCCCAGAGTAGAGTCAGGAATTTACATCCTTTGTAGATAAGAGAAGAAACAGAATGAGACGGGATTAACAATGAAGGAGAGGGGTAGATGAAGGGAAATAACATTTTATAACAACTTCCATGTCACCTATTAAAATAGGTATCAGAGATACATCAGACCATTCAACTGTTAGTTAACTAAGAAAACAGATTAAGAGTAGAAACATACCAATGATGGAGCAGCTAATAATTTAAAATGCACATTCTTTCCCTTTTTTGGGAAGGGCGGGGGTGAGGAAGACTGGCCCTGAGCTAACATCTGAGCCAATCTTCCTCCATTTTTTATGTGGGAAACCACCAGAGAATGGCTTGACAAGTGGTGTGTAGGTCTGTGCCCAGGATCCAAACCCGCAAACCACAGGCTACTGAAGCGAAGAATGCAAACTTACTACACCACCAGGCTAGGCCCCCAAAATGCGCATTTTTTAACAGCAAAGTCAATGTGCTGCCTACTATATCATTTCATCTCAAGTTATAATTTTATATAATAATGGGAAACTCTAAGGAGATTTTCACGTATGTCTTAAACTCGCTGAAACCTATGTTAAAGGGCTAGCATCACACGCTATTTGAACAATTTAAAACAAATTGAGCCTAAAATATGCCTCAAACTAATGCCAAATTTGAGGTTGTATTTGACACAGAACATGGTTTTTAAGGTGTCAATATCTCAAAAAAGAGGTAAAACACTTTTATACTGCAAGTACTAAAAACAGAAGATATTCTAATTAAAAAAAGACAGAAAGAAAGAACAGCCTCTGAGTTGAAGTTTGAGACAAAAGCTATTTGCTGTCAGCAGCTAAGCCTTTTATCTTAGCATACTGCTTGTGCCTAAAACAGTACTGCAGATATAACACTTGCTCAGTAAATATTTGCTATTTAATATAAACTCCACTTCCCAAATTCCTATTTTCTGAACTTCACAGGGTGTAAGTGTAGTACAGCAAAGGCAGTCTGACAGTGGAAGAAATACAGGACTGCAGTTTGGACGTTAGCTGTTAGTATTTTGAACTTATCTAGGTCTTGGCCTCTCTATTTCCTTATTCATTTGAAGAAAAAAACAAACCAGAAATTAAAAATTTTTGAACTGTGTTCCACAGCCTTTTTGCTCTTTAATAAAGAGTAAACAATGGTAATGGATATGAGACAAGAATTGAGACTAAAATCACAGTAAAAAAAAGAGAACTTTTCGACCATGACATTGTTACATGTGCTACTTCTAACTGAAATGTAGCAAAGAAAACAAAGCTTGCTGGTGACTATATAGAAAAAGTTTTGAAAAAAGTGAAAATTTGTTTTAATTTACTGAAATTCTTTTGTGATTTCCATGACCTTGAGACAACTAAATAAAGCAAATGTTCAAAAACGACAAAAACTAACAGAAAAAAATTGGCTCTAAATACTACTCTTCAAGCTCCTAAAGAGACTCATCAAAATTTAAGACTTCTAACATAAAGTTAGCAGAAAATTGTGGAAATTCAAAAGATAATACCAATGGATTTTTCTTTTTTAAATATACAATTTTTTTTCCTGAGGAAGATTAGCCCTGAGCTAACTGTTGCCAATCCTCCTCTTTTTTTTTCTGAGGAAGACTGGCCCTGAGCTAACATCCATGCCCATCTTCCTCTACTTTATATGTGGGATGCCTACCACAGAATGGCTTGCCACGCAGTGCCATGTCCGCACCCAGGATCTGAACCGGTGAACCCTGGGCCGCCAAAGCGGAACATGAACATGCATGCTTAACTGCTACGCCACCGGGTCAGCCCCTGGATTTATTTCCAGTTAAAATTGCATACTTAATCTTTTTTCTCCAATTCTTACTTTTCAAACACATTTCTAGCTATATTTTAAATCAAAGAAAAGACAATAAAAATTCACAGAATTATATACATACATATCTTAATTTTTTGGCGAGGAAGATTGTCCCTGAGGTAACATCTATTGCCAATCCTCCTCTTTGCTTGAGGAAGATTGTCGCAGAGCTAATATCTCTGTCAATCTTCCTCCATTGTTTTGTATGTGGGATGCAGCCACAGCATGGCTTGATGAGCAGTGTCTAGGTCCATGCCCTGATCTGAACCTATGAACCCTGGGCCATGGACGAGAGTGTGAACCCAATCACTACACCACCAGCCAGCCCCTAGAATTATATTTTAACACTAACTTCAATAATAAAGGACATTTTTAAAAAACATAAATAGCTTCTTTAACTAACAGTAAGTAACAATTTTCACCAGATAAAACATACTGAATATATTTGAGTGAATGTCTCTAAAATACAATATCTCAATTTCCAAAAATTATTAATGAATATGGCTCATCCAGAAAAGAGAGGATTCAAATACATAATGAAAGGATCTACAAAAAATTCAAATTAAACAACTGAAGGAGGCCATGCTTAGGTCAGCAAACTTAAAAGAGGGAAGAAAAATAAAATCACCTAAAAATTTTTGAAAGGTAGTAAGTAGTACATTTTACAATACAGTGACAAAAAAATCTAAATGTAACTGTCCTTGAAGTTTAATGTAAATATAAATGTTAACAATGAAGCTAAAATATATTTTAAGGCATTAAAATCTTTTAAAGAATATCATAGAACACTTCATATAAAAGAGATTTAAAGAGTTCACTTCTGATTTATGTGATCTTGGACATCTGACGTGTCTGTAGCTTACTTTGTTTAGATGAAAAGTAGGGAAAAATAGCATCTGCCTCTTAAAGCTACTATAAAGATAAAATAAGAACATACATGAGAAAGTACTTTGAAAATGTAAAAACCCTAAAAGTAAATGCAAAGTACTATACAATAATCATTTCCACAAAGTAATGATTGTGCAATAGTTTTAATAGTGAGACTTTATTAAGATTTCTCTGTATCAAGTTTTCCATTTTACAACTAAGAGTTATAAAAGACCAGGAGAAAAACAAAGATGACTAATGGGCTGAAAAATCAGTACTAAAACTCAAGGAACATTTAGCTACAGAAGTAAAGCATGCTGATATATATAGAGAAAGAGAGAGAATATCATAAAAAGCCTATTTTCCTGAATTGGAAACAAAAGTATCTTGAGATTAAGTGGAGAAATAAAAAGTCTTCTAGTGCTGGCACTGAATATCTATGTCACCTCTTTAACTTTTAAAACTAAAATGTATGCGCATCTGCCTAACGTGGTATGCTCTTTCCATTATGAAGAAGTATGATAAATGGATGATCTTTTAATATCCATCTCAGTACTCTGACCAGTAAGAAAGTTTATGTGAACCATAAATATTTTGCCCATTTACCTTCTTTTAGTTTTATTTTTCCACTGTATCTATCCACACACAAATTGCATACATAAATTTCTTATTTTTAAATAGTTCCAGAAAACCATACTGGTACTTTTTTTAATACACCACCTTTCTACACATTAACTTACCTGATTCTTTAGAGCTCCTAACTGTAAAGGAGTCTAGGTCTACTGATTTTGGTCTAAGTGGTAACTGTTCAGAATCTAGCTTTGATTTTGATATTGGCTCAGTTTCAAATTTTGAAGAAATAGTAGAAACTTCCCCATTAATCCTGAAATGAGAAAATCAAACATATGTAACAATCACTTGTACGTGAAACATGACCATTTTTTAACATTGTTATTTAACAACACTACAGATGATGATGTAACACTGGTGTTTCTTTCTGTTCTATAAAATTATTTCCATAAACATAAACCTCTACCCTAAGACTAAGCACAGTAAAATCAGAAATGTAAAAACAGCTTAATATGAGTGTATTCACTTAGTGTGAATATAAGATTAACGTTTAACAAAAAATTATTACAGTCTATAGAAAAAATATGGAAAACAAATACTTTAAAAATTTACTTTGAGATTTAGAAAGGCAGTAGAGTGATTTACATCAAAGGCAGATAAATGAATAAATTAACTTACAATTAGGTAAAACTTACTTGGCTACAGGAGGTGGTGGAGGAACTGGTTTTTCAGGTCGCTTTGTGAACACTGTTGCAGAAGATCTCAATAAATTATTGGCTTTGGTGGGTGGAGTAGGCTTCTTGGGTGGGACTTGTGGAGCAGCTGGTTTAGAAGGCTTCTGTTCCAGCACTGATTTTTCATCTGATTATTTAAAAATATTTAATTAGTTATAAGCAATCAGAACTATTTAGGTTTTTCTATTTCTTAAAGACAATGCCAGGCTCCAAAGTGTGAAACACAAAAGGAGAAACAATACTTGTGTGGTGTACACTGTTTTATGTTTTAAAGTTATAATTTAATAAGCCTAAATATCTAAAAAAGTTTACTTTGGTGTAGAGAGGTACTACTAATAATCTTCTGATTAACAAATAATGCCTGCTTTTTATTAGTAGTCTTCCCAGCATCCTATGCTTTTAGGGGTGTATTCTACTCAAATATAACCACATATAATTTTACTCTAAGCAAACACTACTACTATCTAGACTTAAATCCAGACCAAAGTCTGAAACTGAAAATAAATAGGAACTCTAGTGCCACTTAACATAATTATTTAAAAAGCATCACGATGACAAAGAAAAAATCAAATGTTAAAAGAAACTGAAACTAGATTGATTAGACACAGATAAAAACATTACGTCCAATATTTATACAGGCATACCCCAGAGAGATCGCGAGTTTGGTTCCAGACCATCACAATCAAGTGAGTCACACAAATTTTTCTGGTTTCCCAATACATATAAAATTTAAGTTTACACTGTATTTATACTACGTTTATACACTATACTGTATTTAGTGTGCAATAGCATTAAATCTAAAAGACAATGTACATACCTTAATTAAAAAATACTTATTTTTTTATTATTGCTAAAAAGTGCTAACCATCATCTGAGCTTTCAGTGAGTCCTAAAGTAAAATAACAGTAAAATTTGCTGCATCAATTGACTTCCTTTCACAAACAATTTCTCTGTAGTATGTGATGCTGTTTGACAGCATTTTATCCACAGCAGAACTTCTTTCAAAATTGGAGTCAATCCTCTCAAACCCTGTCAATGCTTTATCAATGAAGCTTCTGAAATATTCTTTATTGTCATTTCAACAGTTTTCATGGCATCTTCACCAGGAGATTTCATCTCAAGCAATGACTTTCTTTGCTCACCTGTAAAAGGCAACTCCTCATCCATTCAAGTTTCATCAAGAGATTGCAGCAATTCAGTCAAATCTTCAGGCTCACTTCTAATTCTAGTTTTCTGGCTGGTTCCACCATATCTGCAGTTTCTTCCTCCACTGAAGTCTTGAACCCCTCGATGTCATCCATCAGGGCTGGAATCAACGTCTTCCAAACTCCTGTTAATATTGATATTTTGGTCTCTTCCCATGAATCTTGAATGTTCTTAATGCATCTAGAATGGTGAATCCTTTCGAAGTTGTCAATTTACAATGCCCAGATCCATCAGAGGAATCACTATGACAGCATAGCCTTAGGAAATGTATTTCTTCAATCATAAAACTTGAAAGTTGAACTTACTCCTTGATCCATGGGCTGCAGAATGGATGTTGTGTTAGCAGACATGAAAACAACATTAATCTCATTGTACGTCTCCGTCAGAGCTCTTGGGTGACCAGGTGCATTGTCAATGAGCAGTAAGATTTTGAAAGAAATCTTTTTTTCTGAGCAGTCCGGTCTCCACAGTGGGCTTAAAAGGTTCAGTAAACCATGTTGTAAACAGATGTGCTGTCATCTAGGCTTTGTTATTCCGTTTATAGAGTGAAGGCAGAGTAGATTTAACATACTTCTGAATGATCTTAGAATTTTTGAGACGGTAAATGAGTACTGGCTTCAACTTCAAGTCCCCAGCTGCCTTAGCTGCGTTAGCCCCTAACAAACTGTTCTTTGAAGTTTTGAAGCCAGGCATCGGCTTCTCCTCGCTAGCTATGAAAGTCCTAGATGGCATCTTCTTCCAGTATAAAGATGTTTCGTCTACACTGAAAGTCTGTTGTTTAGTGTAGCCGCCCTCATTAATTATCTCAGCTAGGTCTCCTGGAGAACTTGCTGCAGCTTCTACCTCAGCACTTGCTGCTTCACCCTGCACTTTCATGTTATGGAGATGGCTTCTTTCCTTCAACCTCATGAACCAACATCTGCTCACTTCAAGCTTTTCTTCTGCAGCTTCCTCATCTCTCTCAGCCTTCACAGAACTGAGGAGAGTTAGGGCCTTGCTCTGGATTAGGCTTTGGTTTGCAGGAATGTTGTGGCTGGTTTGATCTTCTATCCAGACCACCAAAATCTTCTCCACGTGAGCAATAAGCCTGTTTCACTTTCTTATTATTCGTGTATTCTCTGGAATAGCACTTTGACTTTCCTTCAAGAACTTTTCCTTTGCATTCACAGCTTGGCTGACTGTTTGGCACAAGAGGCCTAGCTTTCAGCCTATCTCAGCTTTTGACATGCCTTCCTCACTAAGCTTAACCATCTCTAGCTTTTGATTTAAACTGAGAGACCCAGGACTCTTCCTTTCACTTGAACATTTAGAGGCCACTGCAGTGTTATTAATTGCCCCAACTTTAATATTGTTGTGTGTCAGGAAATAGGGAGGCCTGAGAGGAGAGAGCAAGAGATGGGGGAACGGCCCAGTCAGTGGAGCAGTCCGTCACACTTAATAAACTACAATATAGTGTAAACACTACTTTTATTGATTAAGTTCAGCATCTCACACAGGAGAAATTTGTGGCACCCCAAACCAATCACAATAGTAACATCAAAGATCACTGATCACAGGTCACCAGAACAAATACAATAATAATGAAAGAGTTTGAAATATTGAAAGAATTAACAAAATGTGACAGAGACATGAAGAAAATGCTGTCAGAAAAATGGCTTCAACAGATTTGACACAGGGTTGCTACAAACACTCAATTTATTAAAAAATACAATATCTGCAAAGCATAATAAAGGAAAGAGCAATAAAATGAGGTATGCCTGTAATTCTCACCATTGTACTTGACTTTTATTAACATCATTTCATTTAATAATTCTATGAAATAGATAAGAAAATATGCTGGAGAAAACCACATCGAAAATAATTTTATTCCATGTCAATAAAAACAATTTTATCACCAAAAAGGCAGGGTACTATACATAATGAAATATTTGGTTCCTGATCTTTCAGGTACTAAGAACAAGTACTAAAATTGACACATGCACACATACTAGATATTCATGATACAGTAATCAGCAAAAATGTCTTATGAGGCATTTATGCAAAAATAAGAAACTCTAAGTGCAATACTGAGTAATTTTTAAAATTCACTTCGTCTTTGAAAAGAATGTCTATCACAGGACCACAATTAATTTCATGAGATATCATATCAATGAGAAACTAGTGATTATGAATCCTGAACAAACAGTGAAGGCCATGGGTAAACCACTTGTTCAAAATTACAGATTTCATCTAACAACAAGGAAAATACAAAATAATCCCCATTGTTTCAGTTTTATCATTTAGGTGTAGCTTTCTTGGGTCATTTGAAAATATAGCTTAGTCTTTTAAAACCCTGGTCATCATTTAGTACAAAAATCCATTTTTATATGGTCTCAAAATATAACAACACATCATATAATTACACTACCAGGAGTGAAAGCCAAAACTCCCCAATTCTAACTATAAGCCAAACAAATTTCTAGAAAATATTAAGGAAGATATTTTACATAAAATACTAGGAAAAATGTTAAAGGATAAATTAAACAGAAGTTCACTGATTAATTAAATATGCTTCTTTAACAGATATATAATTAACAGCTTGAAATCAATTCAATTCCATAGCTTATTTAAAACAAAAGAACATATTTAATATTCATGGAAATCAAAGACGACAAAAATAAGATTCATCATTTCTGGTATATCCATGACTAAATCAACAATAGTATGTTGATTTACTATATAATATATGATGGTAATGTATTTGAATACAAGATTTTATTTATTTTTATGAAGGTTAAACTTATATAACATAAAATTAACCATTTTAAAGTGAACATTCAGTGCCATTTAGTGGTCTCACAATGTTTTATGCAATCAGCACCTCTATCTAGTTCCAAAACCCTTTCATCACCCCAAAAGAAAACCCTGTTTCCACTAATCAGTTACTCCCCCTTCCCTCGTCTACCCAGCCTCTGGCAACCACCACCTCTGCTCTGCTTCCATAATTACCTCTCCTGGATATTTCATATACATGGAATCATACAATATGTGATCTTTTGCATCTGCCTGATTTCATGCAGCATAATGTTTTCAAGGTTCATCTACACTGTAGCATATATCTCTATTTCATTCATTTCTGTGACTGAATAATATTCATTATCTGTATACAGCACAGTCCATTCATCTGTTAAAGGACATCCGGGTTGTTTCCACCTTTTGGCTATTGTGAACAACGTTGCTATGAACATTCATGTACAAGTATTTGTTTGAGTACCTAGTTTTCAATTCTTTCAGGCATATATCTAGGAGGAATAGTTGGATCCTATAGTATTGCTATCTTTAACTTTTTGAGGAACTACCAAACTGTTTTTCACACAGCTGAAACATTTTACAGTCGCATGAGTAACGTACGAGGGGTCCAATTTCTCCACATCCTTGCCAACATTTATTTTCCATTTTTATTATCATTACAGCCATCCCAGTGGGTGTGAAGTGATAGCTTATTGTGGTTTTGGTTTGTATTTCTCTAATAACATCAAACATTCTGTCACATGCTAACTAGCTATTTGTATATCTCCTTTAGAAAAATGTCTATTTCAGTCCTTTGCCCACTTTTTGATGGGGTTGCCTTTCTGCCAGTGAGTTGTAATAGTTCTTTATATATTCCAGATACTGGATACAAGATTTGCAAATATTTTCTCCAATCTGTAGTTTGCTTTTCAACTTTCCTGATAATGTCCTTTGATGCACAAAGTTTTTAATTTTAATCAAGTCCAATTTAACTACTTTTTCTTTTGCTGTCTATGCTTCTGGTGTCATATCTAAGAATCCATTGCCAAACCCAAGGCCATGAAGATATATCCCTATCTTTTCTTCTAAGAGTTTTAGTTTTATACCTCTTATATTTAGGTGAATGATCCATTTTCAGACAAATTCTGTACA